CATTTTCTTCACTCGTGCTACTGTAAATCCTTCTTTGACCAATAAGTAACTAATTTCTCAAAATTTTCCTTGGTATTTTCTACATTTATGGCTTCTTCTGGGGATGATATAGACGTGACGGAGGTGGCTAAGAAATTAGGGGTTCAGATTACTATTACAGCCGACCTTAGGAGGTCTATTGAGGCAGGCCGATGTGCCTCTATATCTGGGGGTGTTGTCCAGGGGATGATGGTGTGGGCTGGGGGGCAGCCAAAATCTATTCATGTATCGACCCGACCCGGTTGGCCAATCTTAGAGACAAATACAGGATCCCTTATAACATCGAACTTCTCTCCCCTTCTTATGATGAGGGAGCCTACTTCCCTAGACAGGGGTGTGTCGCCATCAGTGAATATCTTCTAAAAGTTGGCATTCGCCTCCCCCTTCACCCTTTTTTTCGAGCCGTCCTTCGACTATATGGGTTGGCCTTCTACTCAATTAGCCCTAATGGTTGGGCCCAACTAGTGGGTTCATACATTCTATGGAAAGAAATTTCCTCAAGTGAGGACATGCCCCTCCACATTTCCCAAACAATTTATCAACCCAGGTCCTTGGGGAAGGGGTGGTACTCGTTGTGCCCCTCGGGGGGACACTCCTTTTGTACTGGGTCTCCCCACTTCCATTAAGGGGTAGAAGGAGACTTGGTTCTGGGTTTAGGGGATGTGGCAGAAGTGTGAGGGTGACACTGTCCCCTATATCAAAGTTTCGACCTCCTACTCTGAACCCAGTCAGTCATTTTGACACTTCACGTTATTACCTTTTATTTTGAGCTTGTTTCTAACTCACGATTATTTTCCTTGCAGGGTCGGTTGAGCGTTTTGAGCTTGATAGGAGTACTGGGATATTTTGTCAGAGATCTATAGCCGATCCTTCTCATAGCTTGACTTCAGCTGTTTGGTCGTGCCTCAGCGTCGTTACGAAGATCTCAGCCTAATGGCTCGACGTGGTGAGACTTAGTTTTTTCCTTCTTACCAGTTCACATTGATATTTGTCATTGGCCGACGTCTGTCCTTACGCTCCTTTGGGTTATAGGAGATTTCGAGTAGATGAATGTTCCCACTTCTGACATGGCTACTATCTTAGCTGTGACCACTACTGCTGGCCGGAAGGGCCTAAAACCTTTATATGCTAGAGGAAAGTGAGTGAAGGAAGCACTAGAGAGGGTAAGGGAGGAGGCTGCTCCTCAAGAAGAAGGTCGTCCCCTGATGGTGGATAAAGGGAAAAAAACAGTGGTGGAGGAACCTAAGAAAAAGTTCAGAGTGTCTGCCATGGGGATGGGTAGCTCCAACGACATTTCCCTTCCCCAATCTGAGGTGTCGGGGGGCAGAAGCAATTGGCAGCATCTTTTGCTGCGGCCTATGTGGGTCAAAAGCGAGTGGCCACTTCTGAACCCCAAAATCAAGAACCCGCCAAAAAATCCAAGTCTTCCAGTGAGGTCACTTCGGATCGCTCTCAAGGCAAGCCTCATTTGGCAAGGAGGACCGATGAGTTAGAGCCCAATTCGCTTTCCGTATTGCCTCCAGAGATTCAAACTGCCACGACGACATTCAGGAATTCTGGACCTCTAAATGGCAAAATTTTGTTTAGATAAGTGATGCTGTGGATGTCGTCGCCACGATGGTGGCTCAAGCGTCGAGGAATTTTAGTATGGAAATGGAGGAGAAGGCCTTGTTCAAGACGCTTCAGAAAAAGAACCGAGAGTTCCTCGGCAAGGCTTCCCAGGCTGAGGAAGTATTGAATAAGGTCAAAGCCGAGGCTGAAGCATCCAAGAAGAAAGAGGCTGAGGGGTCAGTGAAGCTTGGTTCTACGTTGGCAGAAATCGAGACCATAAAGAAAGAAGTTCACTTATCTCAAAGTGAGGTGGCCTTGTTGATGAAGTGGGTGGAGACGTTTGATGCCCACCAAAAAATAGCTGTTGAGGCCATTGAGAAGGCCAATAAAGAAAAAGGCGAACTGGCGGGAGAGGTGAAAGAGTTGACCTCCCAAATTGCCAAGTTAACGAAGGAAATTGGAGTTGTTCAAAATGAGGCTGAACGCTCTAGTAACGAAGCGGAGGATAGCTTCTTAGCCAACTTCCATTTAACTGAGAAATATCAGCAATTTGGCCTATACTGGAGATGATACGCATATACTGAGGTTATCGACTGGATCGAGACGCATATGCAACACGATACCTCCGAACTTAGGACTGAGTTCCTAGAGGAAGGGCCTGAAGAATTCGAACCCCCAACCCCGGCAGAGGAGCCTCAAGTTATTGAACTTGATGAGGACGCAGCTGCAGAAGTGGCCCCTGACGCCATCATTCCTTTTGTGGGTCCTCAGCTCCCACCTCCATAGCCTGATGTTGTTTCTTTTCTTTCAAGTGTAATGGCCTCGGCCAAATGTAATTCTTCCTTTAATGAATTCGGATTTCTCTGCAAATGCAAAATGTAACCTCTACTACTTTACTTTTGTTGTGTTATTCTGATAACGCTCGAACATCAAGCTTTGTAGGAATAAGTTGAGGCTTTTAACCTTAATAAAACTAAAACAAGCCGAGGCTCTTAGCCTTGTAGAAACGATTTAGAGGCTCTTAACCTTCATAAAATGAATCGATGCTTTTGGCCTTTGAGACAATTGACTTTGAGGCTCTTAGCCTTTATAAAATTTAAATAAGTCGAAACTCTTAGCCAAATGAGACAATTGACTCTGAGGCTCTTAGCCTTCATAAAATTCAAATAAGTCGAGGCTCTTAGCCAAATGAGACAATTGACTTTGAGGCTCTTAGCCTTTATAAAATTTAAATAAGTCGAGGCTCTTAGCCAAATGAGACAATTGACTCTAAGGCTCTTAGCTTTCATAAAATTTAAATAAGTCGAGGCTTTTAGCCAAATGACTTTGAGGCTTTCAGCCTTTGTAGGACGAGCCGAGGCTCTTGGCCTTTATTGATTCATATATTTAGAGTAACCAGTATTGCTTTTTCATTGAACTCAAAAATGATTCATGCAAGACATCTTACATTATTGGTAGTGCCCATGTAGGTATTCCACATTCCAAGGATGAGGTTGTACCTTTCCATCCATATCTTTGATTCTATATGTCCCTGGTCGAAATTTCTCACTTATGTGGTAAGGACCCTCCCAGTTCGGGCCGAGGGTTCCTGACCCATGTTCTTTCGAAGGCGGGAACACCCTTCGAAGGACCAATTCATTCAACCAGAATGTCTTCTTCTTTACTTTTGAATTGTAGTATCTAGTCATCTTTCGTTGGTACATGACCA